CCACCCAGGACCTCATAAACCCCACCCCATGGAGCTCCAGGTCCTCAAACCCCACCTTGATGTTCTCCTGACCTCCATCCTGAAGTTCTCCAGAAGGTTCCTCAAGCCCAAATCCCACCCAAAACCACCCAAACTCCACCCAGGACCACCAGAGGTCCACCCAGGACCTCATAAACTCCACCCCATGGAGCTCCAGGTCCTCAAACCCCACCTTGATGTTCTCCTGACCTTCACCCAGAAGTTCTCCAGAAGGTTCCTCACCCCAAAATCCCTCAAAAACCACCCCAAACTCCACCCAGGACCACCAGAGTCCACCCAGGACCACCAGAGGTCCACCCAGGACCTCCATAACCCCACCCCATGGAGCTCCAAGTCCTCAAACCCCACCTTGATGTTCTCCTGACCTCCATCTTGAAGTTCTCCAGAAGGTTCCTCAAGCCCAAATCCCACCAAAAACCACCCAAACTCCACCCAAAACCACCAGAGGTCCACCCAGGACCTCCATAACTCCACCCCATGGAGACCCCTGTCCAGTTTGGGGGTCTGAGGTCCACCTTGATGTTCTCCTGACCTCCATCCAGAAGTTCTCCAGAAGGTTCCTCACCCCAAAATCCCACCAAAAACCACCCAAACTCCATCTCAATGGAGACCCCTCCCCAATTTGGGGGTCCTGGACCTTCACCCTCAGTCTGAGGTCCTCAAACCCCACCTTGATGTTCTCCTGACCTCCATCCAGGAGTTCTCCAGAAGGTTCCTCACCCCAAAAACCACCCAAAACCACCCAAATCCACCCCAAAACCACCCAAACTCCACCCAGGACCTCCCAAACTCCACCCAGGACCACCCGAGGTCCACCCAGGAGCTCCCCCACCCCACCCAGGTGTCCCTAGAACCCATCTTGGTCTCCATCCTGAAGTTCTCCAGAAGGTTCCTCAAGCCCAAATCCCACCAAAACCCACCAAAAACCACCCAAAACCACCCAAACTCCACCCAGGACCTCCATACCTCCACCCCATGGAGCTCCAGGTCCTCAAACCCCACCTTGATGTTCTCCTGACCTCCATCCAGAAGTTCTCCAGAAGGTTCCTCATCCCAAAATCTCACCAAAAACCACCCAAACTCCACCCAGGACCACCAGAGGTCCACCCAGGAGCTCCCCCACCCCACCCCATGGAGCTGCAGGTCCTCAAACCCCACCTTGATGTTCTCCTGACCTTCATCCAGAAGGTTCCTCACCATCAACGTCATCCAGAAGTTCTCCAGAAGGTTTCTCAAGCCCAAATCCCACCCAAAACCACCCAAACTCCACCCAAATCCACCCAAACTCCACCCAGGACCACCAGAGGTCCACCCAGGAGCTCATAAACTCCACGCCATGGAGCTCCAGGTCCTGAAACTCCACCCAGGTGTCCCTAGAACCCATCTTGGTCTCCATCGTGAAGTTCTCCAGAAGGTTCCTCAAGCCCAAATCCCACCAAAACCCACCTAAAACCACCCAGGACCACCAAAGATCCACCCAGGACCTCCATAACTCCACCCCATGGAGCTCCAGGTCCTCAAACCCCACCTTGATGTTCTCCTGTCCTTCATCCTGAAGTTCTCCAGAAGGTTCCTCAAGCCCAAATCCCTCAAAAACCACCCAAACTCCACCCAGGACCTCCCAAACTCCACCCAGGACCACCAGAGGTCCACCCAGGAGCTCCCCAACCCCACCCCATGGAGCTCCAGGTCCTGAAACCCCACCCAGGTGTCCCTAGAACCCATCTTGGTCTCCATCCTGATGTTCTCCAGAACGTTCCTCAAGCCCAAATCCCACCAAAAACCACCAAAACCACCCAAACTCCACCCAGGACCTCCATAACTCCACCCTATGGAGACCCCTGGCCAGTTTGGGGGTCTGAGGTCCTCAAACCCCACCTTGATGTTCTCCTGACCTTCATCCTGAAGTTCTCCAGAAGGTTCCTCACCCCAAAAACCCACCCAAAACCACCCAAACTCCACCCAGGACCACCCAAACTCCACCCAGGACCACCAGAGGTCCACCCAGGAGCTCCCCCACCCCACCCAGGTGTCCNCAGACTCCATAAAACCTCATAAAACCCTGAAATTGCTGGTCCAGGTGTGCCCATGGTTGGTGGCCATCATCTCCTGGGAACAAGTGAGGACACCTGAGATCTCCAAAATCCCATAGAACCTCATAAAGATCCACACAGACTCCATAAAACCTCAAAAAACCCAACAAAACCCCCATAGTTCATGGTCCAGGTGTCCTCCTGGTTGGTGGCCATGATCTCCTGAAGACAGGGGACACCTGAGATCATCAAAACCCCATAGAACCTCATAAAGATCCACACAGACTCCATAAAACCTCAAAAAACCCCAATACTTTATAGTCCACGTGTTCTCCTGGTTGGTGGCCACCATCTCCTGGGAACAAGTGAGGACACCTGAGATCTCCAAAATCCCATAGAACCTCATAAAGATCCATACAGACTCCATAAAACCTCATAAAACCCTGAAATTGCTGGCTCAGGTGTCCTCAGGGTTGGTGGCCATGATCTCCTGCGAGCACGTGACAGGTGAGGACACCTGAGATCTCCAAAATCCCATAGAACCTCATAAAGATCCACACAGACTCCATAAAACCTCATAAAACCCTGAAATTGCTGGTCCAGGTGTCCTCATGGTTGGTGGCCATCATCTCCTGGAGACAGGTGAGGACACCTGAGATCCTCAAAACTCCATAAAAATCCATAAAATCCCACACAGACTCCATAAAACCTCATAAAACCCCAAAAATCCCCCATAGTTCCTGGTCCAGGTGTCCTCACGGTTGGTGGCCATCATCTCCTGGGAACAAGTGAGGACACCTGAGATCTCCAAAACCTCACAGAACCTCATAAAGATCCATACAGACTCCATAAAACCTCAAAAAACCCCAATAGTTCCTCGTCCAGGTGTCCTCACGGTTGGTGGCCATGATCTCCTGCGGACAGGTGACACCTGGGGACACCTGAGATCCTCAAGACCTCACAGAACCTCATAAAGATCCACACAGACTCCATAAGACCTCAAAAAACCCAACAAAACCCCCATAGTTCATGGTCCAGGTGTGCCCATGGTTGGTGGCCATCATCTCCTGGGAACAAGTGAGGACACCTGAGATCTCCAAAACCCCACAGAACCTCATAAAAATCCACACAGACTCCATAAAACCTAAAAAACCCCCAAAAATCTCCNCTCCATAACTCCACCCCATGGAGCTCCAGGTCCTGAAACCCCACCCAGGTGTCCCTAGAACCCATCTTGGTCTCCATCCTGAAGTTCTCCAGAAGGTTCCTCAAGCCCAAATTCCACCCAAAACCACCCCAAATCCACCCAGGACCACCAGAGGTCCACCCAGGACCTCCATAACTCCACCCCATGGAGAACCCTGTTCAGTTTGGGGGTCTGAGGTCCACCTTGATGTTCTCCTGACCTCCATCCAGAAGTTCTCCAGAAGGTTCCTCACCCCAAAATCCCTCAAAAACCACCAAAAACCACCCCAAAATCCATCCAGGACCACCAGAGGTCCACCCAGGACCTCCATACCTCCACGCCATGGAGCTCCAGGTCCTCAAACCCCACCTTGATGTTCTCCTGACCTCCATCCTGAAGTTCTCCAGAAGGTTCCTCACCCCAAAATCCCACCCAAAACCACCCAAATCCACCCAAAACCACCCCAAATCCACCCAGGACCACCAGAGGTCCACCCAGGACCTCCATAACTCCACCCCATGGAGCTGCAGGTCCTGAAACCCCACCCAGGTGTCCCTAGAACCCATCTTGGTCTCCATCCTGAAGTTCTCCAGAAAGTTCCTCAAGCCCGAATCCCACCAAAAACCACCCAAATCCCACCAAAACCACCCAAACTCCACCCAGGACCTCCATACCTCCACCCCATGGAGCTGCAGGTCCTCAAACCCCACCTTGATGTTCTCCTGACCTCCATCCTGAAGTTCTCCAGAAGGTTCCTCACCCCAAAATCCCTCAAAAACCACCCAAAACCACCCAAACTCCACCCAGGACCACCAGAGGTCCACCCAGGACCTCCCAAACTCCACCCCATGGAGCTCCAGGTCCTCAAACCCCACCTTGATGTTCTCCTGACCTCCATCCTGAAGTTCTCCAGAAGGTTCCTCATCCCAAAATCCCACCTAAAACCACCAAAAACCACCCAAATCCACCCAAAACCACCCCAAATCCATCCAGGACCACCAGAGGTCCACCCAAGAGCTCCCCCACCCCACCCAGGTGTCCCTAGAACCCATCTTGGTCTCCATCCTGAAGTTCTCCAGAAGGTTCTTCACCCCAAAATCCCACCAAAAACCACCCAAATCCACCCAAAACCACCCAAACTCCACCCAGGACCTCCATAACTCCACCCTATGGAGCTCCAGGTCCTCAAACCCCACCTTGATGTTCTCCTGACCTCCATCCAGAAGTTCTCCAGAAGGTTCCTCACCCCAAAAACCCACCCAAAACCACCAAAACTCCCACCCAGGACCACTAGAGGTCCACCCAGGACCTCCATAACTCCACCCCAGTGGAGACCCCTGTCCAGGTTGAAGCTCCAGGTCCTCAAACCCCACCTTGATGTTCTCCTGACCTTCATCCAGAAGTTCTCCAGAAGGTTCCTCACCCCAAAATCCCACCAAAACCCACCAAAAACCACCCAAAACCACCCAAACTCCACCCAGGACCACCAGAGGTCCACCCAGGAGTTCCCCCACCCCACCCAGGTGTCCCTAGAACCCATCTTGGTCTCCATCCTGATGTTCTCCAGAAGGTTCCTCACCCCAAAAACCCACCAAAAACCACCCAAACTCCACCCAGGACCACCAGAGGTCCACCCAGATCTCCACCACCCCACCCCGTGGAGGTCCAGGTCCTCAAACCCCACCTTGATGTTCTCCTGACCTCCATCCTGAAGTTCTCCAGAAGGTTCCTCACCCAAAAATCCCACCCAAAACCACCAAAAACCACCCCAAATCCCACCCCCACTNAGGTCCCACCTTGACGTTGACGTTCTGGTCGAAGCCGTCCATCTGGTTCAGGAGCTCCAGGAGGATCCGTTGGACCTCGCGGTCGGCTTGGGGTGAAAAACGGAGATTTTGGGACCTCTGGGTTGGAGGGACCACCCAAAATCCAAAATTCCACCCAGGTTCTCCAGAAGGTTCTCCAGAAGTTCTCCAGAAGGTTCCTCACCCCCAAATTCCACCCAAAACCCCAAATTCTGCCCAGGTGACCCCAAAATTCCACCCAGGTGCTCCTGAGCTCCATCCCGAGGTTCTCCAGAAGGTTCCTCACCATGAACTTCATCCAGAAGTTCTCCAGAAGGTTCCTCACCCCAAAATCCCACCCAAAACCACCCAAATCCACCCAGGACCTCCCAAACTCCACCCTATGGAGACCCCTGGCCAGGCTGGAGCTCTGAGGTCCTCAAACCCCACCTTGATGTTCTCCTGACCTCCATCCTGAAGTTCTCAGGAAGGTTCCTCAAGCCCAAATCCCACCAAAAACCACCCAAACTCCACCCAGGAGCTCCATAACTCCACCCCATGGAGCTCCAGGTCCTGAAACCCCACCCAGGTGTCCCTAGAACCCATCTTGGTCTCCATCCTGAAGTTCTCCAGAAGGTTCCTCACCCCAAAATCCCTCAAAAACCACCCAAATCCACCCAAAACCACCCAAACTCCATCCAGGACCTCCCAAATTCCACCCAGGACCACCAGAGGTCCACCCAGGAGCTCCCCCACCCCACCCAGGTGTCCCTAGAACCCATCTTGGTCTCCATCCTGAAGTTCTCCAGAAGGTTCCTCACCCCAAATCCCACCAAAAACCACCCAAACTCCACCCAGGACCACCAGAGGTCCACCCAGGACCTCCCAGCCCCCACCCCACGGAGCTCCAGGTCCTGAAACCCCACCTTGATGTTCTCCTGACCTTCATCCAGAAGGTTCCTCACCATCAACTTCATCCAGAAGTTCTCCAGAAGGTTCCTCACCCCAAAATCCCACCCAAAACCACCCAAACTCCACCCAGGACCACCTAAACCCCACCCAGGACCACCAGAGGTCCACCCAGGAGCTCCCCCACCCCACCCAGGTGTCCCTAGAACCCATCTTGGTCTCCATCCTGATGTTCTCCAGAAGGTTCCTCACCCCAAAAACCCACCAAAAACCACCCAAACTCNTTCTCCAGAAGTTCTCCAGAAGGTTCCTCACCCCCAAATCCCACCCAAAACCCCAAATTCCGTCCAGGTGACCCCAAAATTTCATCCAGGTGACCCCAAAATTCCACCCAGGTGCTCCTGAGCTCCATCCCGAGGTTCTCCAGAAGGTTCCTCACCATGAACTTCATCCTGAAGTTCTCCAGAAGGTTCCTCAAGCCCAAATCCCACCCAAAACCACCCAAACTCCACCCAGGACCTCCATAACTCCACCCCATGGAGCTCCAGGTCCTCAAACCCCACCTTGATGTTCTCCTGACCTCCATCCAGAAGTTCTCCAGAAGGTTGCTCACCCCAAAATCCCTCAAAAACCACCCAAATCCACCCAAAACCACCCAAACTCCACCCAAGACCACCAGAGGTCCACCCAGGACCTCCATAACTCCACCCCATGGAGACCCCTCCCCAGTTTGGGGGTCTGAGGTCCTCAAACCCCACCTTGATGTTCTCCTGACCTTCATCCAGAAGTTCTCCAGAAGGTTCCTCAAGCCCAAATCCCACCCAAATCCACCCAAATCCACCCAGGACCACCAGAGGTCCACTCAGGACCTCCATAACTCCACCCCATGGAGCTCCAGGTCCTCAAACCCCACCTTGATGTTCTCCTGTCCTTCATCCAGAAGTTCTCCAGAAGGTTCCTCACCCCAAAAACCCACCCAAAACCACCCAAACTCCACCCAGGACCACCAGAGGTCCACCCAGGGGCTCCCCAACCCCACCCCATGGAGAACCCTGTCCAGTTTGGGGGTCTGAGGTCCACCTTGATGTTCTCCTGGCCTTCATCCTGAAGTTCTCCAGAAGGTTCCTCAAGCCCAAAATCCCACCAAAACCCACCTAAATCCACCCAAACTCCATCTAGGACCTCCATAACTCCATCCCATGGAGACCCCTGGCCAGTTTGGGGGTCTGAGGTCCTCAAACCCCACCTTGATGTTCTCCTGACCTCCATCCAGAAGTTCTCCAGAAGGTTCCTCACCCCAAAAAACCACCCAAACTCCACCCAGGAGCTCCCCAACCCCACCCCATGGAGCTCCAGGTCCTCAAACCCCACCTTGATGTTCTCCTGACCTCCATCCAGAAGTTCTCCAGAAGGTTCCTCAAGCCTAAATCCCACCAAAAACCACCCAAACTCCACCCAGGACCACCAGAGGTCCACCCAGATCTCCCCCACCCCATGGAGCTCCAGGTCCTCAAACCCCACCCAGGTGTCCCTAGAACCCATCTTGGTCTCCATCCTGATGTTCTCCAGAAGGTTCCTCAAGCCCAAATCCCACCCAAAACCACCCAAACTCCACCCAGGACCTCCCAAACTCCACCCAGGACCACCAGAGGTCCNGGCCAGGCGGAAAACGTCGCGCACCATGCGCGGGCCCTCGCCCAGGTACTTCTGCACGAACTCCGAGCCCACCACGCGGATGAAGGCCGCTGGAGAGGACACACCACCGAAAACCAGGGTTGGAGATGGCCATGGGGGCAGAAATGACACCGGGAAACCGTGGGGAACACCAGGAACCCAAAACAGCTCCAGGATCTCCAAAAATCCCACCAGGAACCCAAAACAGCTCCAGAATCTCCAAAAATGCCACCAGGAACCCATGGAGATCACCAGGAACCCCACGGTGACCACCAGGAACCCATGGAGATCATCAAGAACCCAAAAAACATCTCCAGGAATCCATGGAGATCATCAGGAACCCAAAACATCTCCAGAATCTCCAAAAATCCCACCAAGAACCCATAAAGACCACCAGGAACCCATGGAGACCACCAGGAACCCATGGAGATCACCAGGAACTCAAAGCATCTCCAGAATCTCCAAAAATGCCACCAGGAACCCATGGAAACCACCAGGAACCCCACAAAGACCACCAGGAACCCTTGGAGATCACCAGGAACCCATGGAGACCACCAGGAACCCATGGAGACCACCAGGAACCCAAAACATCTCCAGAATCTCCAAAAATCGCACCAGGAACATCATGGTGACCACCAGGAACCCAAAACCAACTCCAAAACCCCATGGAGATCACCAGGAACCCAAAACATCTCCAGAAACCCCATGGAGACCACCAGGAACCCATGGAGATCATCAAGAACCCAAAAAACATCTCCAGAAACCCCATGGAGACCACCAGAAACCCGAAACATCTTCAGGAACCCCAAAAATCCCACCAGGAACCCATGGAGACCACCAGGAACCCCATGGTGACCACCAGGAACCCCATGGAGACCACCAGGAACCCAAAACATCTCCAGGAACCCCATGGAGACCACCAGGAACCCATGGAGACCACCAGGAACCCAAAACATCTCCAGAATCTCCAAAAATCCCACCAGGAGCCCATGGAGATCATCAGGAACCCACAGAGACCATCAAGAACCCAAAACATCTCCAGAATCTCCAAAAATGCCACCAGGAACCCAAGGAGATCACCAGGAACCCCACGGTGACCACGAGGAACCCCATGGAGATCATCAAAAACCCAAAACATCTCCAGAATCTCCAAAAACCCCACCAGGAACCCATGGAGACCACCAGGAACCCAAAATGCATCTCCAGAAACCCCATGGAGACCACCAGGAACCCAAAACCAACTCCAAAACCTCATGGAGACCACCAGGAACCCATGGAGATCATCAAGAACCCACAGAGACCACCAGGAACCCAAAAACATCTCCAGAAATCTCAAAAATCCCACCAGGAACCCATGGAGACCACCAAGAACCCATGGAGATCCATCAGGGACCTAAAAAACATCTCCAGAAACCCCATGGAGACCACCAGGAACCCATGGAGATCATCAGGAACCCATGGAGATCACCAGGAACCCCATGGTGACCACCAGGAACCCAAAACATCTCCAGAAATCCCATGGAGATCATCAAGAACCCAAAAAACATCTCCAGAAACCCCAAAAATCCCACCAGGAACCCACAGAGACCACCAGGAACTCAAAACATCTCCAGGAACCCCAAAAATCCCACCAGGAATCCATGGAGAACGCCAGGAACCCAAAACATCTCCAGAAACCCCATGGAGACCACCAAGAACCCACGGTGACCACCAGGAACCCCTTGGAGATCATCAAGAACCCAAAAAACATCTCCAGAATCTCTAAAAATCCCACCAGGAGTCCATGGAGACCACCAGGAACCCAAAACATCTCCAGAATCTCCAAAAATCCCGTCAGGAACCCATGGAGACCACCAGGAACCCATGGAGACCACCAGGAACCCAAAACTTCTCCTGGGAATCCATGGAGAACACCAGGAACCCAAAACATCTCCAGGATCCCCAAAAATCCCACCAGGAACCCACAGAGACCACCAGGAACCCGAAACATCTCCAGAAATCTCAAAAATCCCACCAGGAACCCATGGAGATCATCAGGAACCCAAAAAACATCTCCAGAAACCCCATGGTGACCACCAGGAACCCACAGAGACCACCAGGAAGCCAAAACATCTCCAGAAACCCCATGGAGACCACCAGGAACCCAAAACATCTCCAGAATCTCCAAAAATCCCACCAGGAACCCCATGGAGACCACCAGGAATCCCAAAACTCCTCCTGGGAATCCATGAAGAACACCAGGAACACCATGGAGACCACCAGGAACCCCATGGAGATCATCAGGAACCCAAAACATCTCCAGAAACCCCATGGAGACCACCAGGAACCCATGGAGATCACCAGGAACTCAAAGCATCTCCAGAAATCTCAAAAATCCCACCAGGAACCCATGGAGACCACCAGGAACCCCATGGAGACCACCAGGAACCCACNGGGGGTCTGAGGTCCACCTTGAGGTTCTCCTGGCCTTCATCCTAAAGTTCTCCAGAAGGTTCCTCACCCCAAAATCCCTCAAAAACCACCCCAAACTCCACCCAGGACCACCAGAGGTCCACCCAGGAGCTCCATAACCCCACCCCATGGAGACCCCTGGCCGGGTTGGAGGTCTGAGGTCCTCAAACCCCACCTTGATGTTCTCCTGACCTCTATCCTGAAGTTCTCCAGAAGGTTCCTCACCCCAAAATTCCACAAAAAACCACCCAAATCCACCCAAAACCACCAGAGGTCCACCCAGGACCTCCATAACTCCACCCCACGGAGCTCCAGGTCCTCAAACCCCACCTTGATGTTCTCCTGACCTTCATCCAGAAGTTCTCCAGAAGGTTCCTCAAGCCCAAATCCCACCCAAAACCACCCAAACTCCACCCAGGACCACCAAAGGTCCACCCAGGAGCTCCACAACTCCACCCCACGGAGCTCCAGGTCCTCAAACCCCACCCAGGTGTCCCTAGAACCCATCTTGGTCTCCATCCTGATGTTCTCCAGAAGGTTCCTCAAGCCCAAAAACCCACCAAAAACCACCCAAATCCCCCCCAGGACCACCCAAATCCACCCAGGACCTCCCAAACTCCACCCCATGGAGCTGCAGGTCCTCAAACCCCACCTTGATGTTCTCCTGACCTCCATCCTGAAGTTCTCCAGAAGGTTCCTCATCCCAAAATCCCACCCAAAACCACCCAAATCCACCCAAAACCACCCAAATCCACCCCAAATCCACCCAGGACCACCAGAGGTCCACCCAGGACCTCCATAACTCCACCCTATGGAGCTGCAGGTCCTCAAACCCCACCTTGATGTTCTCATGACCTCCATCCTGAAGTTCTCCAGAAGGTTCCTCACTCCAAAATCCCTCAAAAACCAACCAAACTCCACCCAGGACCACCAGAGGTCCACCCAGGAGCTCCCAGCCCCCACCCCATGGAGACCCCTGCCCAATATGGAGGTCTGAGGTCCTCAAACCCCACCTTGATGTTCTCCTGATCTCCATCCTGAAGTTCTCCAGAAGGTTCCTCAATCCCAAATCCCACCCAAAACCACCCAAAGTCCACCCAGGACCACCAGAGGTCCACCCAGGAGCTCCCCAACCCCACCCCATGGAGCTCCAGGTCCTCAATCCCCATCTTGATGTTCTCCTGACCTCCATCCAGAAGTTCTCCAGAAGGTTCCTCATCCCAAAATCCCACCAAAAACCACCCAAACTCCACCCAGGACCACCAAAGGTCCACCCAGGACCTCCATAACTCCACCCCATGGAGCTCCAGGTCCTCAAACCCCACCTTGATGTTCTCCTGGCCTTCATCCAGAAGTTCTCCAGAAGGTTCCTCACCCCAAAAACCCACCCAAAACCACCCAAATCCACCCAGGAGCTCCATAACTCCACCCCATGGAGACCCCTGGCCAGTTTGGGGGTCTGAGGTCCATCTTGATGTTCTCCTGACCTTCATCCAGAAGTTCTCCAGAAGGTTCCTCACCCCAAAATCCCACCAAAACCCA